TATTTAATAAAATTTTACCTATATCCTAAGAGCACATATTAGAAAATTTTATTTATTAAATATACAATTAAAATCATTAACATGATATTGACTTAAAAACTAATTAATGGTTAAAAATTACATAAATGAACTTTATTTTATTTTATTTTATTTTATTTTGTTTTGTTTTATATAAATAAATAAAATTGTGTAAAAATGACAATAGTGGTGTTGGTGGCCCAATGGTGAAAACTCCAAAATGTGTGTTAAGGAAGTGGGGTTTGAATCCCCTTGTGCACAAACTTGTTAAAAGTTTCAAAATTTATGAACCGAACGGTTCATCGGTTCAAAACCCAACAGATTTGATCTATTTTTTTGAGTTTTGACTAGATTTGACTCACTTGGACTGAATCTTACTACAAATCGAGTTTATGTCATGACTTGAACTGATTTTATAACTGGTTTCAATTTAGTTGGTCAAATTGACTGGTTCGATCTAGGTTTTAAAACAATGGGTCCTTTCACTATAAATTTGTCTTACTACATTACTCATACTCCTTTTCCCATTTTATTTTTTATCCCTTGTTGCTTTCAAAATGGATCCCCCTTTACACTTCCCATTAACCTTCTCATTTTAGCCTTAACAGTCCTTCATATTTTCAACATATGCCACTTTTTTCTCTTTTATCTCTTACTTGATTCCAACCCAAATGGAACACCATCGTTTCCCTTTTCTAGTGATAATCAAGTTCTTGCTTTCATAGCGTTTTATGTGTTTTACCCACAACCTATATCTCTCAAGTGTGTTTCATGCAACTTTGCTTCATAATTTTGCATGGCACACTTGATCTGGATTTTAGAAACTTTATGATTTGATTGTTTTCTTCAATTCTACCTCTATTCCCTCTCTTTCCACCTTGGTTGTTGCAACACAAAACAAAAATTCTCCAACCATCCTCCTTAGCCTAGACTTCCCTTCACCTCTTAATTAGTATTAGAAACTTGGCTCCCCAACGTCATGAAAGTGATACCCTTATCTATGGCAATTTTCTCCCTATCGATTCAAGTGGTCTTACAACAATAAGAAAACTCTACCTTCTTTTCCTCGTCTACACTCTCAAAATGGACGTATGTTGTCATGAAAATTACAATCTTCATTTCAATGAAGAACTGCCTTTATTCACTCTCATAACCCCTTCATATTACTTTAGATTTTATACAATACTAGGGTGGTACCTTCAGTTTATTTGTGAGCTTTCAAATGCCATTTCCCTCTAATTTTTAACACTATTACCTGAGGGGACCCACTTTATAAGACATTGCCAATTGAAAAAATATTCTCCACATCCGATCAAAATTGGGCACCTTTGCTTATGGTCCACCTATTACTTCTATTGATATTAAAAAGAAAAAACCTCTTACTTTTATGTTTATATATTTTTTTATTTTTAAGATGGTTGAATTTTGTGGTAAGGGGTATCATGTTTGGTATACTTTTCAATTTAACATACTTTTTAATTTAACATGCTTTTCAACACCCATTGGTTCAACCATTCAATTTTGCAAGCAAAATTTTTCCACTATTTTATCAAAATTTTAAAATAATAATTTCTTTATGACTCAATTGTGAAGTGTGTTGAATTAATTACTTTTAAAATTAAAAAAAAATTTTTTAAAGGAGGTGAAATTTTTTATTTATTATTTATATAGGAAAACAACCAATGAGCTAAGCTACTATTAACACAAGAAGTTGAATATATGATATCCTTTTATTTTGTGTTATAATTTGATACTTTTTATGAAAAATAAAGTTAATAGTTTGATTGATCAAAATTTACAATTTCTTTCATATGTTTGGTTTCAAGCAATTCAAGGGGATGGAGGATTATTTTCTTGATTCATATTACAATACATAAAAACATTATCACTTGGTTTGTTAAACAATTTTTGTCTCTCCTCTATTTCCAGGGACAATATCTTATATATTTTCTTGTAAATTTTATCTTCAATGTTGTATAATTATAATTTATTGTGACCTCAATTCAATATTCTAAGTTCATTCTATGATATTTAAAAAAATGCAAAAATATGGGATTTTCCAATACATCAAATTTGGATGCCATATATTGACGAGAAATGTTAATAGTTTTATAAGTTTTTTGGGAAGAACTCATTAGAGATTATAAAAAAATTTCTTATATGTAATAAATCATCTTCAACATTCATAAATTGGCATGTTAATATTCAAATATGAATACAAGGTTTAGAAAATAGGTGGTAAATATTTTCGTAACAATTAAGATAATAAAGTACATAAAATACAAACTAAGGAATACCCCAAGTCCAAGAGGATCTAATGAAATGTAGAAATATTAGCAAAATTGAAGTGTTAGGACTTTTTGTGTGACCATTTTTATGTGGTAGATGAACATTGTTCATATACCAAATTTCTATTGCTCCTTGAATGGTTGTTTTATGGAATCTAAGTGTTTTTATTTTCCATCTTTCTAGAGCTAAAGTTATTAATCGACCTTGAAAAATATTTAATTAAACCCTTGGTTTTGATTTGTTGTAAAATGCACTATTTTTATGTATGTGCATCTTTTTTTCTTTGTGGAGCCTTGAACTTGTACTTTTCCTTGACATATTTATGGTACATAATTCAAATGGACTTTAATTTAATCAATCATCTATTAACTATTGATCTTTTTTCCATTTTAGTCAAATCTTTTTATTATTCTAAAATCATCTATTTACTCCCTAAATTATTACAATTTTGTATTGTTCAACACAACTCCATTCTTTAGCCAAGATGCAATTCAACATTGGTATTACAATTATTACAATCAATCATCTATTCATGGAATATTCTATACTCAAATTAAAAAAAAAAAAAAGTCAAAAGTTAACATACATTTTTATGAAATTAAGTCTTTAAAATTTATCCAACATATCAACTACAAGCCACTTGCTCCTGCATGTGCAAACCACTCCCAGCTAATATTTACATATTAAGTCCTATCATTTTGAAAATCACCTTCCCCATAATAGAAACTAACAATCCAATGTGTTAACCCCTAGTAAAAAAACTATAAATTTAAAAAAAATTAAAAAAGTAAAATCAAAAAACCATTTCAACTGCCTTTTACCTTCTTGCTGCTTAGTGCTCTAGGATTGGTAACTCTTCACATTAGATTATGCCAACTCAATGCACATTTGTGATTTCATTTCTAATTCCATATGCAACACTTTCTTGCTCACTTAATAGCATCTATTACAATTACAAATCTCAGATGTCTTATAAATTGTCACGCCCCAGAACCCAAATCCGGGGACGTGGTAGACACCGTGCACTCATGAGACGGGTCCCACAAGTGCACAAAGCTCGGAACTTATTCAAATCACAAAATCTCAAGAATAAAATCTACCTTACAAAAGGATGATAAAATCTAAAACTTACATCCAGTTAGAATGGCTAGCCTTTTACCTCGTCACTCCCTTTGGTTTCCCCGTCCTCGGTTTCCCTTCCTGAAATGGTGGACAAGGAAAACTATGAGATAAAATATCTCAATAAGTAAATATGGATATCCCTTGGTAAAAATTTTATAGCATGCCCGACAAACAGTTCAACATAACAAAACGTTCAATGATAAACCGTTAATGCAGAATCAAATCCAATTCAATAACAAAGCGTTCAATGACAAACCGTTTATGCATAATAAAACTCCTCAGTAGTCTCATCTATAAGTCATGGCCAGTGTTTAACAAACTCCCACCGGCAGGCGTCAGTAATGGTACCAGTGTTTAACAAACTCCCACTGGAAGGCATCAGTAATATCCAATGTTTAACCCCATTGGCAGGGTTACAGAAGTACAAGTGTTTAACAAACTCCCACTGGCAGGCGTCAGTAATTACCAATGTATTATCCCATTGGCAGGATTACAGAATGGACCGGTCATATTAGTAAACATGTTGACATGTGTCGGCGTTTACAAACTCCCATTGGTGGGTATCAGTAATCATGACTATATTAGAGACAAAACCATGCAAGTTTTACAGAAAAATCCGTAATTCACAATCAATCTCAAATTTCAGAATAAACTGAAAAATTTCTATGTGAGCATGGATTTAACAAAAAACTTAGAACTTACAAAATTCTCAGTTCATCAAAGCAGTTCAGTCAATTCCAAATAGGCATGCTCTATTCAATGCAAATGAAAACAATTTCATGTGGGCATGCTCAACTCCAGAAAAACAATGAAATTCTCATTTTCATTCCAATTCTACTCAATTCCAGAAAATAATAATTTTCATAAAAATCATCACAATTTTCATTTCAGTTTAATCACACTCAGATGCTGATAAAATCAATTTAAACCTTG